GGAGTGCTTCTAATATTAAACTCAGGCAAACTTCTTTTCAAGGTCAAAAACACAGCATGAAGCTGATACTATTTACCCAGAAAAACTGGAAATCCTGGTTGAAAAATAAATGATATGTATCAATCTGGAAAATTCTGAAGAAAACTTGGTCTTCCGATTGGGTAATCCACTTTTTTCACTCTTTATGGTTCTTCCCAGAGGAGGGGTGACTACTATCCCATTGTGCTTTGCGATTGTATATTTTCAATATGGTGACAAGTTTCTGCCTTGACTGAAAGGCAACACGAAAATAGCTTTTATTCTAGTAACRAGGGATGTTTCTACTTTGCTGCATTACTAGGTAAGTTCTAGAGATAATAATTTATCATTTGTGTAATTTTGGACTTGAATAGACGAGTTTAGAGTATAATTTTACATTTTCTTCAATGTTATTGTCATTCGGGAGATTTTTATTTTTGATAGTTTGGTGTATGTTTCTCTATGTATAACTTAATAATTTGAGGGTCAATCTCATATGTTATGTGTTTCCTACTTTGTACGTCATCGTAGCTTTAAAGTGAACGTAGTTTGACCCAGATTGACCCAGGTTTTTAACAAGAAATGTTGCATTATATTTGACTATTTTTCACATTTACTGACTGAAAATAGTTGTCACGAAGTGTTTGCTTCATGCTGATGGCCACAGATCGCTCGCCATCGAAACTATTCCAATTTTAAGTAATGAATCAATATCACTGGTCAGGTGCTTGTTTAAGCCTCTGTATCTAACATAGACTTTCATTTTGTTTTTCAGAATAACCCAAGTCGAACAAACACAACTTCAATCAAATTTCTTTGACCACCTCAGTCAGGCTTCAGACCTTTAGTGGCGGACTTTGATTTCCAGTTACAATCAGGAAATGTTAGGCTATTAGAAACATAGCAAAGCTGAACGTTTATTATTTGAATGGCCTATAATTTTGCTAAATAAAAAACATAATTCTCTAATTTTATGTGATGCTTGGTTCTAGAATTCTCTTGAAATAAATCTTTGTTTAGCGCGACTATAATTATAGCGTTACTTTGTGCAACGCCATGTTCAAGTTAGACTAAAACAATTGCCCAGGCAAAAAGCCTTACAGAAGAAAGTTGATGCTCAATAAGAGGCAAATATGCTTTAAAAACTCTTCTTTTTGAGGACAAAGGAGCAGAAATTTGAAACAGTCTTCAATTCTGAAGAATATTTTGAAAGAAATCTCTTGCTCTAAACACTTCGGTCACTTGAACACAATGATCAATGTGCCAAAAAATTCGATAATATACTTGCTTTCGCAATGCACTGTGGGATAGTAGTCACTCCTCCTCTGGGTTCTTCCAGTAGGTGCATACCGTTTGTCGCAACTCCAAGTTTCCTGCTTATTTCTTATCAATTACCATTAGCAAATTATTTTCAACTGAATAGATCGGTTTAAATGGTAAGCATTCTAGTTTATAATTTGGTACCATGTGTCAGTTTAATAAGTGTGATACCATACCTTCAATAAGTTTTGAAGCTTCCAYTTCAGGGCTAGTGAGAACTTCAAATTCCTCACCACCCACCTTCACCTTTTCCTGCTTTTCATCTATCTTCTTTGTCAGTTCTATTGTTTGCTTCATCATTTCTTCCACATGCTGTTGGTGTTCATCAATAATCCCATGTGTTTTATCCATTTTGGTTGATAACTTCTGTACTCCTGCATCTACTTTTTTATTGGTTTCATCAAACTTCTCTGTAATCTCATGTTGTGTTATATCCATTTTGTTTGATAATTCCTGAACTCCTGCATCAACTTTTTCACTTGTTTCATAAATTTTCTCGGTAATCTCATGTTGTGTTTTATCTATTTTGTTTGATAACTCCTGTAATCCTGCATCTACTTTTTCATTGGTTTCCTTTATCATTTYTTTCAATCTTTGTTCATATTCTTCCCATTCCTTTAAACAGTCGCTATAATAGTCTTCATCCTCAGCATCCATTGATGTTTTTTCTAGCCTATCGATCTGTAATTTATACTGAGGTCCTCCTAATCTCAGCAATACATCTGATATATYACTCCAGTATTTCCTAAATCTGCTGTCAGGAATAGCCGTTTCAGTGATGTGACCATAGAGTTCATTTCTGTAAAACTTGATGCGAATCAAGTCAGCTTCTTTACTTTTGTCAGAAGCAAGGGGTGGCTTGTYCCATCCAGTCRCAGGTGGTGTTAAACCGCAAATRTTGCGCAGAAGTAAAAACAGCAARGTAATGTCAAAACTTACYGAGTTGACYGATGTAMTAGCTWTAGRAYACAGTTTATTCCACTGACTTATATYTAGCACCCTTTTGGCCTTCAATCYTTTCAAAGTAGMATGGACTGGTGTACTAAGYAATGCYGTTTKTAAGGAGCWTGGTGGGTGAAATGAGTCAAACACATCTCTAAGTACACGTGTCCCACCGTCAATCAGCAGCCTACACAGCCGAGCAAAGTTTGTGTTCCTCGTTGTGGTACGAGACCAGCCAGTTGCCATTATATTTCTGTCAAAGTAATACATGCCAAGATGTTATATGACCATTTTAGGGAATAAAAACTGAAGAATATCAGCTAAATACAAATCAGTGAGTGTGTGTTATGCTTGGGGGGACGGGGGGTGGGAAAGGGGTAGGTAGTGTGACTGTAAAAGGGAAAGATGCTTGTCATACTTTTTAAAATTCCAGAACTGCTATTTAACACCTCTAAGGGTGTCAGAAATATAATAATACTACCAGAGAAAAAGTCGCTACCTCTTAGAGTGTTTGTCTGGAAATAAGACACCTGAGATTTGATAATGACAGCCAGAAGGAAAGCACTATCTTTTTTTTGGACCCTTCCCCTCTTCAGTAGTGGTTGCTACTGGTATGAGCATTTTCGAGAAATTTCATATTGAAGTTTTAAAGTATAAAAAAATTGCAAAAACAAAACATGTTAGCAACTTTGTGGAAAAGTTGTATTTTCTCAGTTTTGAGTTCCCAATCTTATCTAAAGAAGTTGGTAAATCACTTTGGAATATTGGGTAAAAATTGTATAGAAATCGTACCATTTGATATTTCAAAATATTTGGTCGTCTTAAATTGGCTATATGAGCCATATTTTTGGATTACTGTGTTATGTTAATTAACATGCTCGTAAATTCAAATCTACTCGATGAATTTTTTAAAAATTTAGTCAACATTGACTGCAATATAGGCAACAAGATGTCAAAATTTCATTATCATTGAATTATTTTAAAGCTTTCAAACTTTAATCCGCATTGAGAACTGTATAGGACGGCGATTCTCTTTAGCCCTTGTTTATTTGATTTATCGCATTTGCGCAAATTCCAGTGTGCTATGCTTAATTGCTTTCCGAAAATGTTTCCAAACTATTTCCGAACAATTTTGTTTTTGAAATTTCTCGAAAATGCTCATACAGATTTTCTTCAAATTTTCTGTACCTTGAGCAAATTACTTATCCTCCAATATATCAAAAGCAATTTAAAAACCTAGGTCAAAAAATGGAGAAAATAGGCAATGAAGTAAACGCACCAATGTTTAACAGCAATCTTATATTAATTCCCGGAGTAGTCAATCGATAAAAATCGATATCGATTTTGCCAATCGATAAATCGATAACAATCGATACCGCTGATTTGATTGATATCAATTGTATCGATCAATCGTTAAAAATTGAACTCACACCAATTTTTTTTTCCGATTTTAAACGATTTCCCA